CGTTTTTCTTTATTCGTTGTACGTGAGCTTTTTTCAATTAATAATATTGAAATTAGATAAATTAACATCAACAATAATATTTTTAAAACTAAATGTTAAAAAACTGTTTTATTTATACAAATGTCATTATGGAATGTATTGTTATTATCGAATACATACAATTAGCAAAATTGAGGAAAATCTTAATTTTTAAAAAATCTTTTTTATAATATAAATTAAAATATATAGTCAAAAAAAAAAAAAAAATTATAATATAAATTAAAATATATAGTCAAATCAATTGATACAGAGGGAATAGTGTTTTAAGAGCATGGATGGCGCGTGAAACACAATCTATTTGATAGGATTTTCGATTTCATACTAGATTTTAAAGTGAAAAATAAAAAGATAAAGTGGATGGTTGGGATAGAATGGGTGTGGAGAGGAATCGAACAGACGGATGATTATGAGTTTAGAAAGGTGAGGGTTGGAATTTGGATTCTACGATTATTATCTCTGCTTTCTTATAAAATATTACTTGTGGGAATACGATGTGTACTTCTTAATTTATTTATTTATTTATTTAATTAGTGGTAGTTTCTTATGATTGTGGAATAAAAATAGATTCTCCCTTATCTATTGATAGTGGTGATTTTTGTTTGTATTATCAGTTTGGTTAATTTTATCTCAAATTTTATTTGATTTGTCTGTTGTTATTATTTTAAAAAATATATTATTTTTAGTATTTTAAACTAATTTTCTTTTCCTAATGCTAATAACTCAATCTTTCAAAAAAAAAAACTTTTAGGTTAATAATTTTTTTATATTTTTTTAAACATTAAACATTAATAAATTGAAAAGAGATAAAAATGATTTGGAATGATGAATCTAAATAAATCACATAAATTAACACCTTATTCTTAATATATTCTCAAATTATTTGTATAGTAGAATACAACACTAGAACAAGTTTAAAATATATTGATTTTAAAAACAACATATACAAATATTTTGCATATAAAATTAATTTGAAAGTAACATTAATAATAATTAAAACATTCAATCAACAATCCTAATTATCTAGCACTGATTCTAATACTATTGTTGAATTTCTCGAAATGCATATATATAGCGAAAACTATATATTTAAAAAAAAAGTAGGAGACTCTAAGATTCCACTAGATATATCTAGAGTTATTTAAAATTTATGCAAAGATTACCTAAAGATTATGTTTTTTTTTTTTTGCTTTGAATATTTGTTTAGAGGATGGGTTTTCACAAACCACAAACCATCTAAATGTCTAACCTCTAACAATAATTCACATAAAACTCCAACGAGAAATCTCATAAACTCTTTCAAAAGAAAAAAATTGTTATACCTTAGAGTTTTTTTTTTGTTTTGTATTTTAGATGTTTGCATACTATACTTTAAGCCCTTATATCATTACTCACAAAAAAATAAGAGATACAATATTTTATTTATAAGAAAATCTAAAAACTTTATAAATAGTAAAATATCAATTTTCTCCTTAAATATTATCACATGTATTATTTTAGACTAATTTTAAAAATTTATTCAATTAGATCTTTACTTAATTGTTTTTAGATCTAGAATTGTAAATCTCTTGTATTAATTTCATTATAGTTCTGAATTTCTAAAATTTATTTACAATCATATTACACTTGATTAATTATCTTATTTTAATTTATAACCAATGGTTTTTAATTGTGATCCATTAGGTTTCCTAATAAATTAATCCAAATATAAATCATAATCCTAAATGAAATATGATTACATTAATTAAATAAATTAATTTATTATCAATTAAAAAATTAATTGATTTATATTTAAAAATCAAGTATAATGTTTATTAACCTATCATGATTCTTCAAATATTAGAAAAGTCATAAGTGGTCTGATTTAACTTTTATGTGACCAATTTTGCAGTATAATTATTATCATTTCATTAATAATTTTTTGATTTAGACATTATAACATAAAAGTGTGTCTGACTATATCATATCATATTTATTTTCAACAACATATTCATTGATTTTTTGAATAATATTCCAAACTATTTTTAAATTTAATTTCACTTTATGTGAGGATTTATAATCAATAAAATTTGATAATAGATGAACTATTTTTTCTAATTCCCCAATAATGATAAATCATCTCTTAATTATTTTAGATATCTTAATATAGTTCATATTATATCTAATATTTATCTATTTGTTACTCTTAATTAGAACAACATATAATTAAATTAAAATATAACATTCCATACCCCACATTTAATTTGAACAAGTAATTATATTATTGCTCAATCCATAGAAAAATCAAGGCCATTTTGTTATAAATTAATTTTTACTAAAATTTTATTACAGTTTTCTATTTTGATGTACCAAGTTATCAACATAAACCTTCTCCCATCATTTCCATTTCTCATTTTTACAATTCGATTCAAATATCGTAGAACAAATCACATACGTGGATACATCACTCTTTTAATTCCCATGATTTTTCATTAACGCATTTAGTTAACTCTAAGGGATTAAACAATAAAAAGAGTTTAGAATAAATAATTTATTCTTACATATACACTTCCAAAGCATCCTTATATAACACACACACACACATATATATCTTCCATACGGCTAAGTAATATTATTAACATAAATTGCACCACATTATTTCCAAGCAATATCTTAATATTACACATCTCAATATTACTAAAATACTAGAGTAATTACATTACATTAATTTTACATGAAAATGACTAATCCCACACAATATATTTTCATATGCATTTAAAAATATTTTCCTGTACACTAGAGGGTCTATTCTATTATTATATTTATATCAATATATTCAAAAGACTATTACATTACATTATTATTATTTAATTGTCAGTTTATATACTAATCAATTAATTTTTAAGGCCATGAAATTACATTACTTTACAATTATGTAGTCTTTTATAACATCTATTACATTATATTAATTTAATCTATAACTATAGAATCAATCACTTAATTCACTCCTATGTCTCTAGTCTAGAACAAGCATATAAGCTATAAGAATTAATTAATTATATGACTCATGCTTCATTGTGGATCAAATATTTTTAATTTTTATAAAAATTATTTATGTAAGTTTTTTAAACTTTTCAACGTATTTTGATAGTTCAAAAAATATAACAAATAAAAACAATTATGTACATATATAATCTAATAAACTAAGAATTATATGCGTTAAAAAATCAATAAAAAATCATTAATGACACCTAAAAACAAAACTTAAAAAACTGGGAGACAAATATAGATCAAAATATTGATTCTTGAAAAATAAAACATTAAATTGATTGAATAAAAAAAATAACATGTAAGGCTACACATATTAAGAATATCATCTACAAATAAATATTTTTTATTTTCAAAAACATAGTTTATCTATATAAAAGATAAAAACAAAACCATAAATGAACCAAAAAATCACTCTAAAAATTAAAAACATAACAAAAAAATCAATATTTTTTAAAAAAGACCTTCTGAACAAAATAGAAGAGAGAAGGTTTTGAGACCTTCTAAACAAAATAGAAGAGAGAAGGTTTTGTCTTTTTTTTTTTTAGTTTTTTAATCGGTCACATCAGGGTTGTTAAAATCATGATTTTGACATTGTACGGAAAATGCAAAATAAACTCGGATTGTAAAATCATAAGGAATTTTAAAATACATTAAAAAAATTTATGCTTCAAATAAAAATTCATATATAATTTAAGTATTTTAAAATACATGGTTCAAATAAAAATTCATATATAATTTAAGTATTTTAAAATACATGGTTCAAATAAAAATTCATATATAATTTAAGTATTTTAAAATACATGGTTCAAATAAAAATTCATATATAATTTAAGTATTTTAAAATACATGGTTCAAATAAAAATTCATATATAATTTAAGTAAATTTTCATTAACTAATAATTAAAAAACTTAAAACAAGCAATCAGTTGGTATGTCATGTAAACTAAAATCAGTTTCATTGCTTTCATCTTCCTCATTATTTCTCAAACATTTATCAATATCATTAACATCAAGAAGATTATTAGTATCACTATTAATACCAACACTAATATTATAAACATTAGTGCTACTACTAGTACCAACACCAATATTATCAATGTTATTTAACTCAAAACTCCTTAAATTCTATAAATTGTCATCAATTTGAATCTTCAAATCATCTTCAGTACCATGACTCTCTATTTCAACATCATTATGAATTTCTTCTTCATCACTTTCATCTTCTTTACCATTTCTTCGTATTGCACTATCAATAACACTAAGCAAATCAAAGTTTGAATGTTTTTCTCCCTTAATTATCCAATCATCATAAGATAAAAGATCACCTTCTACACCAAAATCATCAGCTTGCTTTTTGACTTGGTTATTATTCAATTTTAGATTGCACATTATAAATACCAAGTCATTCATTTTTCTCTGGTATAAACAATTTCTTCGTTTTGTATGAACCTAAATAAACAATTCAAATTTATAAGATTTTTATCAAATATTTCAACATTTAAAATAAAAAAAAACTAACCATTTCAAATGCACTTTAATCACGCTCACATCCATATAAAATACAAGTCAAGCTTAGAAATTGAATTACAAACTTTTGTAATTTTTGACATTCATCCTCATAAGAATCCCACCACTAAGCTGGAGTTTTTTTATCTCTTACTGTCTTGACAGCTTCAATGCCAAACAACCCTTTTGCATCCTTGAATGATTCAAGTTGTAAATCAA